GGGGGGGGGGGGGAGAATGGAAAAGCATTTTGCTATGCATCACTCAGGAATCCTTAGGTAAATTATTTCCAGATAGACTCAGTACTTAAGTCTGTGAGAGATTTGTCTGTATTTGGAGGAAGGGTTTTGGGGTTTGTTTTTTTTTTGTTTATTTTAATTCTGTTATATCTCAGCCGTGCATATCTACTCTAATTTTAAGGCTTGATTTACAATTGATAAGTTATATCACATTTTCCTACACTAAAGCATAAACATTTTTGTGAATTTTTTGTATCCTTTTTTTAAATTTAAAAAATACTTTCCAATTCAGTTTTCTTAAGTTCTAAGTTTTTTCCCAACTGTGCTTGGAAATCCAATGGTTGAAAACATACAAGGTGTAAGTCAGGAAGGACTTTCACCTGTGCTGACTACTGTGCATTGATTTCTTGCCTCTATAATTAATACATTTTCTTCTTTCTAGAATATGCAACATCTGTAATGCTATGAGAAGTGCTTCCTCTTTAACATAAACCATTATACTTTACAAAGTGAATGTCCAAAGATTTGCATTTTTTCAGAAGCATAAAGAAAGCAAAGAGAGCTTTGTTTATACCAGGCATTTGTTTTGAGAGGCCATGGCTGTTCCAGTTGTCTCTTGTCTGGATTCCGAACGAGCAAAAAGGTAAGAATTAAATCTTTTGCTTGGCAAGCTCTGCTTCTGTTATCACCTACACAGCACAGGTTGTTTTCAGTGTAGATTCAACTCCCTTTTATCTAATTAATCTTTTCTGAGGTTTAAGTGACCTTTTCAGTTAAGGGGAGACAAGTAGTCACAGTTTTAAGGTAGTCAGATAGCTCCTGTTTCTAGAGATTATACATTCTTTCCACACACTAGTAATTTTCATTAGCATTTACTACCCACTATTATCTTCTGTTTTTTCCTCCTTCTTTGACACCTGAGGAGTATCCTGGCTTTAGGCTAACACTTGGTAAATATTACTCTTAAGAGCTTATGCATGCATAAATCAAGTAACTGATGGGCTAACTGATCTTCACAGCTAAGAACACATCAAATGTTTCTGGGAATGTGTTGAGCACAGGGGGGAGATAGGGCTTGGAATCGTGCAAAGATTTTAAAAAACGGAAAAAGGAAGCTGCAAATAATTTTAGTGGCAGCAGAGTCATATTTAATGAAGGTAAGATTATGATGCTTGAAGCTGACTTATTCGAAAGGCCTTACAGAAATTAATGCTACTTCTGGAAGGAACTCATGTTACGGAATGGTGTAAGTATATGTACAGAAAGGGGAAAATTTGGATCTCGCAAGGCAAAAGGCACAGGAGAGGGTATGGGAAACTGGAGGTTCCAGAATTGTTTACATTCCTAATCTATTATATCCACAGAGGGTAATTTCTCTTTCCTGAGTAGAGAAGAAGATGTGATCTGCCTTTCTTTCTGATGTGGTTTGGTTTCTGTGGCTGGTTGTGATTCCTCTTGATCCCAGCACTTTCTTGATACTGGTGATTTTAGCCAGCTGTTGTAGCATCCTAATTTACAGAGTCTTTGTACTGGATCTGTATCACATCCTAATGTATAGAGACTTTGTATTAGCTCTGTATCACTTACCTGCAAAATACATGGGATGAAAAGAGAAAGGAACCACGTACCCCTACTTTGCTGGTTTGCCTCAAATTTTGG